ATTGGTATTTGTAATTTATTTCTATTAAAAAGTGCTTACTTTCTGCTTTATTTATGGTCTTTAGATTGCTGTGTGAGACTTTCCATTTAAAGTTTTAATTTTATTTTTTTTAAGCTGCAGGTAATTTCCAAGGTGTGATACAGATTTCCAAGGTCTGGCAAGATTTTAATGGAAGCCTTGTGCTAGTAAAATGAAGTGCTATTGGTAAAGGAGATCTTTGTAGTGCATTCAAGATCACATAATTAGGTTTAAAAATGAAAGGTCTGATTTGTAAAAATTTAATGTTATATCAGACTTCTATAAGATTTCCTGTGAGAACTCTCATGCTGCTTTTGATTTTTAATGAATGTTCTAATGAATGATTTATGAATTTTTGTCTTTCAGTCTCTGTAATTTATCTCAACATAATAATAAAAAGAAGGATGTTCTCACCATGAAAGGGCTTGTCTTTATTATATTTTATCCTTTTGTTTTTTGAGACAGAGTCTCATCTGTATTTCTTGCTGTCCTGGAACTCACTTGCTCGCTCTGTAGACCAGGTTGGCCTCCAACTCACAGAGATCTGCCTTCCTTTGTCTCCTGGATGCTGGGATTAAAGGTGTGCGCCACCACTGCCGGACATATTTTATGTTCTTTAAATGCTCATTCTTTCATTCATTGAGCCCTTCAGTGAATTGTGAGTCCCTGCTGTATCACAGGTAATGAGCTAAGAGCTGGGAATATTAACTGATCAAGACAAAGCTCTAACTGTAAACTTAATCAAGAAAATATTATTGTCAGGGAAATAAATCTAGTTTTAATTTTGATACATGTTTGAGCATCACACAGTACAATGAGAACATTTATCTAGAGTAGCTAAACTGTTCTGGAAAGGTCAAGGAAGATTTCACTGAGAAGGTAAACTTAAGCTGAAACCCAAAAGATGGAAAAATGAGTGAGGTGAAATACTAGAGAAAAACTTCATGCAGTGTGTGCCAACTGATGTTATCATGAAAATGTTAGGATTCACAGCAGCTGAGGTTGCTTGCATAAGATCAAGCCAGTCAGCATTCTAGCATGGAGTGTGTGTGGGGAGCGTACATGGGCCCCTCAGTTCATAACTGGGGAGCTACGAACAGTTGATGGCTTCTGAGAGAGGGAGTGTCACTTTTCTTTAAGGGTGCTTACGGGCAGGTTAACCATGATCCATTGGGTACTCCCACAGGCCCAGGAGTATATGAGCAGCACAAACTGGACTTGATAGATTACTGGGGGGGAAAAGACACAAAGTTTGGGGAGTATGGTCATAGGGGTGGACCTAGGAAGACTTAGACCAGAGGAGTCTGGGGGGGGGATTAATATCAAAATACATTGTATGAAATTCTCCAAGAATAAAAGCATTAAAACTTTATGGAACCAGGCAGTGGTGGCACATACCTTTAGCCCCAGCACTTGGGAGGCAGAGGCAGGCTGATCTCTATGAGTTCGAGGCCAGCCTGGTCTACAGAGTAAGTGTCAGAACAGCCAGGGTGTAACACAGAGAAATGCTGTCTGAGAAAAAAAAAAAAAAAACTTTATGGAAATGAAAATAAACTTGTGTGACAATTTAGTATAAGAATTCCCAAGTAGGTGAGAGACTAAAGATAGGGTCCTAATCTTCGGAAGATGATACACAATGGCCATGGTATTGCACCTCAAGTCAGTGTCCAAAAATTTAGATGTTTTAAGGAGGGAGTCATGGTATCAGATTTGAGTTTTTAGTTATAATTTTAGTTGCTATTTGAAGGCTACAGCGATGTACTCCTAACAACTTGTTGAGCAGCTGGTAATATAACAGTTTCAGCAGTTGTGTTTGCTATTACTAAGTGGTGGTGTAGCTTGGGTCTTAAGTATCTTCCAACGGCTTATATGGTAAAACCTTGATCACTTGTCTCTCAACATGCCCATATCTTGATGTGCCAATACCAAGAAATGTCATCAATCAGCCATGAAAAGAAACTTGTAATACTGAGTTAAAGCTAAGTTGACTATTAGACTGATAATAAGCTGATTGACATGGGTGGATATTGATTTAATCTCACTGAACAGAAGTGAGGGCTTCAATCAAGAACTGAAAGATGTATGTGTAAAAGTCATTGTTAGGGAAACAGGGTGCAAGGGAAGAGGTCAGCAAACACGACTGCTGACTTAGAGAGTCAATGATTCCAACACAACTGTAAGGAGAAACTAGCTCACTGGTGTTTTGAGAGCTTCTGGGTTGGAGCAGAGAGAGAGACAGGAAGGAAAAATTTCAACTTTCAGTAAGCAAGAGAAAATGAAGATAGAACACAGTGGAAAAGGGTAGGTTCAGAACGAATTCATTGTGGAAAGAGTAAAACTGCAAAATAATAATTGATGATGATGGTGATGATAATAATAATAATAAATGCTGTCTCTTGAAGCGTTAGGAGACCAGAGAGAACGGGGATCTGAATCATGTTACGCAGTGTCCCACAGTAAAGAAAGAAATTGGGCTAGCCCTTTAGACCCAGCACTCAGGAGACAAAGGCAGGAGGATCCTGTGAGGTGGAAGCCCGCTTGGACTACATAGCAAATTCTAGGCCAGCCAGAAATGTAGTGAGACCCTATCTCAAAATTATAATAGTAATTTTTAATTGAAATATTTTAGTAATGAAAAGGAAAAGAAGGAGTGGCTTTTAAGGATGTCCCTTTCAATTTCTCATGTCACTTGTAACAATCTGAAATGACTAGGACCGGTCATCTGTTGAGCTGAGAGTAGTGAACACTGTCTTCCTCTCAGACAACTGAGGTAATAATGCCTATTCGACATTTCCAACATTTGTGTGTTTGCGCCCCTGCTTTTAGGGATTGGAAACTAAGAGTAGGAATGTATTCCCACACATCTTACTTCTTTTCAAGGTACACTACTGTTAAGAATACACGAGGTAAGAGGAAATCTGCCTCAAAAGCCATCAACTTCACTTTTCTGAGACGATCAGACCGTTGGGCCACTGGGCCATGACTTTTATCCCAGGTGGTTTCTATCTGTCTCTGCGTTTTTACAGGAGTCCACTAAGGTGACCATAGCGCAGCCCTTTGCCACAAAGAACTACCAAAGCATCAACAGTGAGAAACACTTGGGCCAAACCGATTGGAGAGTCCATTTTTGCTAGCATTCCCCTTAGAGTAGGTTTTCTTGAATGTACACACACAAAGATAGAGACCGTTTTTAGAGGGCAGAGCCAATGCAGATCCAGAGCCAAAGAGACAGCCCAGTTTAAAACAGACGCGACAAACCTGAGCCCACCGCCCAGGCTCCTGCATTGACTCCGGGTGGAAACTCAAGTGCAGAGCTTGTAGGCCGCGGGCGAGACAAGAAAATGGGGTCATCTAGGGACCGGGGGCCTCTAACAAGCAGGCCGTTCAGTCCGTGCTCCGCAAACGCCTCCACTCACAAGAAAAGAGTTCAGGTAATGG